TTTCAGACATTATGTAGAAGCATAATGAGTCAAGAGGAGACTCTAAAAAAGAAACTGCTTCAATAGAATACCATAAAATATAATGGCTTGTCTGCTACAACAGTAAGTGTAGTTGTGACTCCTTAAAAAGAGATAATATCTCATTATCCTAGAAAAAGTGTGACATATTACTGTGAACATTGCTTACATGGTTCAGCTCAGGTGAATAACTGCAGGTTATACTGCAACACAATATCAATTCAAACAATGAGTGAATCATATATCTCATACCACAACTCTACTTTTTATATGAAATAACAAATTTTCATCTGATGAAGTCTTGGCATCGAAAAAAATACTTTGATGCTACATTTAGAGTCAGGACAGAGCAGCTAAGTCAAAGATTAAAAAAAGCAAATTGAATGACCTCAGTTGTTTATAGTTAGGTGTCAGAGTTAAAGAAAATGTAAGAAAAAATCTTGCAAAAAGCTGAGCTCAAGTCTTGGCAGTGCTGAGTATCATGCAGATGTTTTGTGGTTCTCCTTTTGCTAGATACTAAGAAATCCTGCATACTTGTGATAAGTTTAAACTTTTCTGATTACTTGAAATCATATACTTGGTTAGTATAACAAATCAGTTATCATATGTGTGTATAATGCAATAGAAATTAACCTCAAAAATCATCCATAAACTTGCAGGTCGCATTGTACACAGAAGTAAATTTCATATAACTGAAATATTGTGTCACAGGGGATAAATCATCATAATTTCTCCCTCTCCCCTCCCGCTGTACTCCCACATAGTGAAGCATATAAAGTAGTGCTGGGCACATTAATGTGTTATAATTGAGTTAACACAGTCAATGCTAAGTGGTGAGAACTTCTTAAACGTGCGTTATTCTAGAATTGCGCTGCTCAGGGTGGCAGCACGTTGGAGTAACTCTGTTACTTTCAATGAGATTTTCTTTTCTTTTCAGGATTTCATTCCTGCCTTTCTGGGGGAAAAGTGACCTTTTTTGGATGGACATTCTTTTTTTTTTTTGGATACTATGCAGCTGGATTGATTTTTGGTAATAATTTTTTAATACTTTGTTATGATGTGTAGCCATAGCAACAGGATGGTTTACAATAGGAATTATATAGCAAAATCTGAAATACCACAACTGAAGCCACAAATCCCAGCGGAGTTGAAAATGAGGTGTCATGGATGCAGAGCAGGAGCAAAGAGGCGAGAGTGGAAAAAAGGAAGTTCAAACCATCTCTTCCATCAATCCTAATGGGCAACATGAGATTGTTACTAACAAACTGGATGAACTTCAAGCCCTGACAAAGACTAAGCAAGAGTATAGGGAATGCAGTATTATGTGTTTCACTGAGACATGGCTGCAGGAACATATTCCTGACATTTCTCTGCCAGGCTTTCAGACTGTACAAGCAGAAAGATTTGACACTCCTGTCTATTTTTAAGATTAGACTGAAAACTTTCCTTTTTGATAAATCATATAGTTAGACTTAGGTTTTCTGAATTATTCTTCATTTCTGCTGCTATAGAATTAGACTGCTGGAGCACAAACTGAGCACATTTCCTCACTCTGCTGTTGTCTTTAGTCTTTAGTCTCTCTTCTCTACATGTTTATTGTAATTATTTCTATCAATAACATGTTTTTTCTTGTCTCTTCCAGAAGAAGGTGCAACTGGACCAGTCCTGGACTAGTTTTCTGTGTTTGCCTGTGTCTCTTTCCTGTCCCCCAAATCAGATGGTTGAGGCAGATGGCCGCCTGTCCTGAGCCTGGTTCTGCTGGAGGTTTCTTCCTGATTAGAAGGGAGTTTTTCCTCTCCACCGCTTAGGATGGGAGACTATGATGAAGTGATTCAACACAGCCTGCTGACTTCTTCTTTAGATTGTTCTTTTTTATGTACAGTGTCCTGAGACAATGTATTTTGTGACTTGGCGCTATATAAATAAACTGAATTGAATTGCATTTAAAGAGCAGCAGGAAAAAGAAAGGAGGTGGATTAGCACTGCCTGTCAACAACAGATGGTGTCATCCTGGACATGTTACTGTGAAGTGTCCTCATTTCAGTCCAGACATTGAACTCTTGGCAGTAAGTTTCCATCCATATTATTTACCAAGAGAGTTCACCAATGTTATTTTGGCAACTGTTTACATTCCACCCTCAGCTGTTGCTGACAATGCATGTCATATAATCAGTTCCATTTTTACTAAGATACAGATACAACACCCCTGGCAATATCTGGTGATTTTAATCATGCCTCACTCTCTGCTACACTGCCAACTTTTCAACAGTTTGTCAGCTGCTCTACCAAGTTGACATTGGACATCTTGACATACAAGACATTGGATTTGTTTTACACAAGTGTTAAGGATTCATATATCGCCAATGCAAGACCTCCTCTGGGTAATTCAGATTACAACCTTGCTTTTCTCTACTCAGAATATAAACTACTTGTTCAGAGACAACCTGTAACTACAAGGACTGTGAGAAAGTGGTCACAGRAAGCTGAAGAAGCACTACAGGGTTGTTTTGAATCCACAAATTGGATTGCTCTTTGCCAATCACATGGAGATGACACACACTCAGTCACGGCATTTATGACTGACTACCGGTATACTGTATAAACTTCTGTGTGGACAACACCATCCCCACCTCAACAGTGAGATGCTTCCATAATAACAAACCCTGGATCACTAGTGAGCTAAAGCAAGTGTTAAACAAGAAAAATTTTAGCTAAGGAACAAGCTTATCTTCCACCTCTCCTGCCCCCAGCCAATCATATAACCCACCCCCTTTGACCCCTTTGCTTTCCTATCAAAAATCAGATGTTTTATCTTCAACCTCAGTAATGGAGTCTTCTACTTCCACAGGTTTGTCTTCAACCAAATCAGGAAATGTTGCTGCTCCCTTTGCCTCCCCCTCTGCTGTATCTAKAAGTCAGGTGAAGAAGCAGCTACAGAGACTGAACCGAACCAAGGCTGCAGGTCCAGATGGTGTCAGCCACAGAGTCCTGAAGGCCTGTGCAGACCAGCTCTGTGGGATTCTGCAACATCTCTTCAACCTTAGCTTGATCCAAGAGAAGGTGCCAGTGTTGTGAAAGACATCCTGTTTGGTTCCAGTACCAAAGAAAACTCAGCCATCAGTCCTGAATGACTACAGACTTGTTGCCCTGACATCCCACATCATGAAGGTCCTAGAGAGACTCCTGTTGACCCACCTGAGTAAGCAAGCAAACACACACCAGGACCTCCTGCAGTTTGTTTATCACTGTGGAGTTGGAGTTGACGACGCTACACCTGCTTCAACGAACCCACTGTCATCTGGACAAAGCAGGCAGCACTGTTCTTTGATTTCTCCAGTGCTTCTCACACAATTCAGCCTGAGTTGCTTTGTCTGAAACTCCAGAAGACTCCGGTGGAAACAGACCACAGTTTGTGACACTGAAGGACTGTTTGTCTAACCAGGTGGTCAGCAGCACAGGAGCACCACAGGGGACTGTACTCTCACCATTCCTGTTCACACTGTACACTTCAGACTTCCAGCACAAGTCAGACTGCTGTCATCTACAGAAATACAGATGACTCTGCAGTTGTTGGGTGTATCAGAGATGGACAGGAAGCTGAGTACAGAGAGCTGGTGGACCACTTTGTGGCATGATGTGGGAACAATCATCTCATCTTGAATGTGAACAAAACAAAGGAGATGATTGTAGATTTCAGGAGAAATAGTGTTAGATCAAACCTTATTTCCATCATGAGAGAAAAAGTGGAGGTGGTTGAGGACTATGAATACCTGGATGTTCATCTGGAAAACAGACTGGACTGGAGACTCAACAGTGAAGCAGTCTACAAGAAAGGACWGAGCAGACTGTAAGGAAGCTAAGATCCTTCAATGTCTGCTGCAAGATGTTGCAGATCTTCTATAAGTCTGTTGTTGAGAGCTTCATCTCTTCTGCTGTCATCTGTTGGGGCAGCAGCATCAGAGCCAGGAACATAAAAAGGCTAAACAACCTGATAAAGAAGACTGGTTCTGTTCTGGGGACGACTGTGGAACCTCTGGAGATGATGGTGCAAAGAAGGATTTTACATAAAATCAAGAACATTGTGGACAATCCTGACCATCCTCTTCATGAGACTCTTGTAGCAAGACTGTGTCTTCAATCTGAGGCTTYTTCAAATTCGTTGTAATACAGACCGCTACAGAAGATCTTTCCTGCCCACAGCCATCATCATCTACAATACCTCTTTTGTTAAATGAGTTACTACAACACCTAATTTCCCTTTTGGGATCAATAAAGTATTTTTGAATTGAATTGAATTTGAATTAACTACTGTGTTAAAACAGTTATTGTTGTTAAGTGTTTTTTTCTTTACATTTATGTCTGTTCACTTCCTATGAACACATGCACACAAAACCATGAGGATCTTGATCACTATTGGCTTTAGATTGTTATTGTGCGTTTCAACCAGTGAGGGCCTTTGTTGTTGAGCCATTGCGCATTAGGTTAGCACCACCTTCTGTACATGAACCCGAGCAGCCAGGACAGAATCATGGCGGAAGTTCCCCCCCGCCCCCGGCCAAAAAAAATAATCAGTTGCCCCACCAGAGCGTACACTGCAAAGGCAAAAAAATCCTGAAGTCTGAATGCAATTAGGGGTAGCATTTTACTAACTTATAGATGCTTTATGTTTTCAGAGTCTGCCTGAATCCATACATTTTGCAATCAGTCTACAGTTTAAATACTCAAACAATTAGACAATGTACAGAAAAGAATACTGTTCAGGACCAATCTTGTTCTGCTCTGTCTGATGTGGGACACACATCCAGATGTGTGTAAAGTCATCAAGCAGGTTTTGTGGGTGAGTGGATACAKAAACTATTCATTAGCCCTGAAAAGGTGAACTGATGGATGATGGTTGGGGTGAAAAACAAGTAATATAACCATCCCCACACATGTCACTACCAATACTTGTGTACGTGTACACCTGAAAAAGTTCTCCATACCTTGAAGGAATACTCTAACCGCACAAGAAAAGGAAAGCTGACGGCCTGAAGAATCCTCTTCTCATTTAGAGTGTGCTCTATCTGCTTGAGCTTCACCACCTAGAGGGCAGAAGGAGACAAGAAGGTACAAGTTTTTTCACATGAAAGAATGATGAAAGTTCACTTTCCGGTAAAAATTAACAAAAAAAAAAACTCTTTATCAGAAGTGTAAAATTAATAGGATTAATATCAACACACAGACAGTTACAGCCTCTGATTTCACATTTTCAGCTTTACATTACACACTTATATTCAGTTTTCAATATTTTATCTTTAGAAACTACTGCAACAAGGAGTTTGGGGCCTAAAAACAAAAATAAGTAAAACAAAAATAAAGAGCATGTTACTCATCAAAACTCTTTGACCATTTTCTAATAGCCAATGAAAACAGTCAAACTTGAAGTCGCAGTTTTTAAACAAATATCTCATGGGATCTGTGGGCATGACTATCAGCTACTACCACACCAAGTTTTACAACAGTATTTGTAAAACTAATGGAATAATAAACAGCATTGTGTTTGATGAGGTCAGTTAGCCGTAGTGGCCATCAAAATATTACTTTTTGAGAATTTTGATCAAATCTATCCAGCATACTAGGGATGCAAGATATATTGGTATTGATATCTGTAACGGCCAATATTGGTCATTTTTAGAATATCGGTATCAGTTCGATATGTAAAACGGGGCCGATATTAATGTCCGATATTGATTTCCCAGTTTTTAGCTCAATGTTTCTGTTTTGGGAGGGGAGATGGTTGGTTGAGCAGCATCTGTTTGATCATGATAGTGATATTGATGCTGCGTAGCCAGGAATAACTGAAGTAGAGCCATGTCATAGGTCTGGTTGTTGATTTACAGTATCAAAAAAAGACCCAAGTGTGTTTGTGTGTATATGTTTAATATAATTTGTATGTTTGTGTAATATCGGTAAATTTTGATTATCGGCCATAACACCAAACAAATACGAACACACACACACAATAGTGATTGCATGTCTTATGACAATATGCAACAAATATAAACATTTTAAAAATAGCACCACAGTGTCTTATCGTTAGAGACAGATTTATTATTTGGCAAACTGATTTTAATCTACAAATATTGACCCCCTTTTTTTTAAATCTGCAGCTGACCATGCCTGCACATTACCTCATTAAACACCAAGCAGGAAATAGAAGATGAAGCAGCTTCTACAACCACTTTATCAATCTATTTCTGTAATTTCATTGTGCTCTCTGTATGATGACAATAAAGGTCTCTCTTTTTTTAAGTGAGAAATGCCCTTCTWTATGCATTATTTAATTAGTATAAGAGTGTTAAATATACTTGTATTTAGATCATGCAATTGTTGTTCTTATCATTATTGTCATGGCCCTGTGATGGACTTGTGACCTGTCCAGGGTRTACCCCGCCCSTCGCACAGTGACTGCTGAATATGGGTGCCAGTGACCCCCGTGACCCTGAAAGGAAGAAGCGGGTAAAAAATGATGGATGGAATTATTGCTTCATTTTGTTAAATGAAAAAAAAAAATACTAATCATATCAACCATTTGCTGGACTAATTTGTAAAGATCAACACCAGTCATAGAAAAAAAAAAAACGGACATCCGTCAACTTCTAATAGTTACATAAACAGAACATTTTTGACAAATAAATCTAAAATCGGTTCATGTTTTGTTAAGAAGTAAACATGTTATTCAGCTTGCCTTCTTCATCTCAAACAACATTCTTTAAAACTATTTACCTGAGCACGTCATGTTCTAAGTAAAATCCTGATGTCATTTTTATTGTCTTTAGAATTACATTCACTGCATGGTCATCACCTATGTTCAGCAGTCACTGTGTGAGGGGCGGGCTACACCCTGGACAGGTCACAAGTCCCAGGACTGCAGAGACAAACAAAACCCAAAAACCACTCACTCTCTCACTCACACCTAGGGATAATTTAAAGTTATCGGTTAAGCTAACGTGCGTGTTTTTGGTCTGTGGGAGAAAACCCATGATTGCATGGAGAGAACAAGTAAACTCCACCTCAAGACAGAAGGCAATCCTGCAACCTTCTCATTGAGAGTCAACAGTTCTCACACACCACCGTTCAAAGGTTCACCAGAACATTTTAACAGTCAATAGTTATATTTTTATATTTAAATTATTTGGCTTCCCTTGTGTGGCAAATCTGTAAGTGTGGCTGCTTTACTGGGGTAATGTTTAAGATCCTTCTGAGTAGTAAAACAGTTTTCTTTTTTAAAATATATAAATACTATTGACAAGAAGCAATGCAGGCAGAGTTGTACTCTAAATTGCTCCACTTATGGCAATTTGCACAAAGACAACAACCCCAGATGATGACTATTTCAGCAAAAATGGGCTCAGATCAAGCATGCACCTGATTTTGATTCCTGCAAAAGAGCTCCAGGCCTTTTATAGCATCAATGCAAGAATTAAATATGTTCCATCAATTACATTTTTGTGGGTTTTTTTTTTCATGACCACCTAGCAGAAACATTAAACATGAGTTTTCCTTCAATAAAAACATTTAAGGGTCGCTGTGAACTTGATGACTTCTGGCCCAGACTGACCTTTTGCTTGTTGAGGATCTTCATGGCGTAATGCTGTCCTGTTTCTCTRTGCTTCACCAGCATGACTCGTCCAAACGAGCCCGTACCCAGGGTTTTCAACCTCTCAAACTGCTCCAGGCTAGCAGTGTTCTGAAAACAAAACCAAAACAATTAGTAGATTATTGCAAAAGTAAGATTTTCAGGGGTGGAGTCGTAGGCACGTCTTTAATGCTTTTGCTTAATTTAATTTCCCTTTGGAATCAATAAAGCGTTTTTGAATTTGAATTTAATTGAATTTAAATATAAATCAGGCACTTTATGAAATATTATTTCATTCATAATTTTAATACTTTTTTTGTTGGAACTAAACTTATAAAACTTCAGTCCTAATTGAGAACTACACAACAATACTGTCTTTTTAGAAGAAATGAAGTTGTGTTCATCATGCCTCCACCCGAGGAAGCATATTGTTCTCTGGCTGTCCATCTGTGCATTACTGGGAGCAAAATACTAGCCATCACCTTTTCTTGTGTGTACTATATCTCCTGGAAGGAGCTATTGATTTCTGTCCAAATTAACATGATTATTGTTCTTGGCACAACGGAGGTCTAAAAACATTTTGAGGTCAAAGGTCAAAGCTGAAGGTCAGGGAAAGTGATCTTTGTTGCTTGAATCACAATATTTTGGATGGTAAACATACAGTGGTTTGTCACTGAAATTGATGATATGAGGAACTCATGTTTACACATTGTTGATACGTCTTAGAATATTTAAGTCCAAAAAGAGATGTAAATGAGTAACTGCATGCCCAGTGCTTTAAATGCAGATGAGTCTAGGGCAGGCGAAGGATTTTATATTGATTTCATATTAATGATTTTATACTGGATTCCATTTACACTCTCTAAAACCAAACCTATGAATTGTGGGAACTTGGAAGACAGGAATCACCAACCTTTTTTAGACTGAGATCTACTTCAACTACTCAACTTTTACTGTATTGGTGCTGATTTTACTTATTTAACTGTGTGATTTTATTGTGTTTTTGTATTCAGTTTTTATTTTATGTGTTCAGCACTTTGTTTCAGCAGCGGCTGATGATATAGCGCTTTATAAATAAAGATTGATTGATTGATTGATTGATTGATTGATTGATTGATTGATTGATTGACTTCAGGGGTACAGAGTAACCTGAAGAGCTACTTGTTTAAAACAAACATGAATTTGGAATGACTCACCTTCAGTTACAGTAATAATTTATATATAATGTGAATATTTGACTACTAGGGGTGCAACAATACATGTACCCGTATCGAACAGTGCTGTATCGAACAATACAGATTTTAAAATTTTACTTTATCAACTTGTCTTCTGAAGATGATCTGTGTTAAAGGATCAGTGGATCTGTGTTCGACTACTCCACCTAGGCTGCATTTTTGAGCACAGATCCACTGAGAAACTCGATGTTTCAGCAACATTTAATTTAAAAACTGTACTTTTGAGGTTAAACAAATGTTCATAAATAATATGAATAAATTACAAGTTAAAAGGGGCATGGACATTTCTCTTTTTTGTATCGAAAAATATCGAACCGTGAGACTAAAGTATCGAACCGAACCGTGACTTTCCTGTATCGTTGCACCCCTATTGACTGCCTGATAATCCTAATGTTAAGGACTCCTCGCGGTAATCATCAATAATATTTTATCATAGTAAATTATTATTATTATTAATTATAAGTGATTAGAACTCTGTGTGTGCAGCAGCAGATGATCTGAGTCCAGAGTTCTCTGTTTGAAAACTGTTTGGAGCTCTTCTGTGTGACCCTAAGTGTGACTGGGAGTGTGGATGGTTGTTTGTCTCTTCGTCTGTGTCTSTGRTGRACTGGAGACCTGTCCAGGTGTCCCCTGCCTTCATCCAAAGGCAGCTAGGACAGGTTCCAGCCCCRCCCTGACCCTGATTAAGAAAAAGGACAAAATAGATGGAGGATTTTTCTTTGTAAMGTTTATTCAAAATAAACCYGTTTCTTATTGCTTCTGTGACATGTTTTAAGGAAAATAGCAGTAAAATCCTCAAATCATGCTCTGTTTTGTGGTCTTTGTAACTCTTCAGAAGAACTCTAACTCTTGAAGATAAAAAACAACAGTTAAAAAAAACACAACGATAAAAAAAAAAAACCTTCCTCTCACTCACCAAAAATAACTTATTTACCACATTTCAGTAACTGTTTGAAATCTGGGCCCTAACGGGTTAATGCTGTGGTGCATGTGTGTGTGACAGAGAGAGGAGAGGAGAGCGCTCAGCTCTCTTTTAAGTGTCCAGCATGACTTGTTGACTAACAGCAGCTCTTTTTGCCTGGGTTTTTGGTGTTTTGAGTTCACAAACAACTCTGGTCACTTTTTTAAAAGTTGAAGAAGATTACATTAGCTCGCTGCTGCACTGCTGATCAGCGCCAACAGACTCACAGGCACCCGGTCGTAWGCGGCACCCCCCTTGGATAATGGTTGGGGAAACGCTGCAGATAAATATTGGAAAGTTTTTATTTGCAGAACCTTCTTAAAGAGCCAGTCTAACAGTGTGGCTCATTTACTACATACTTTGTATAGAATAAAAACTGTTTGATTTATTGAGCACTCTATATTTGTTAAAGTTTACTTGTTAATGACTGCCATTTCTACAATATTTTGTAAGAAAGAAAAAAAATGTATAGGTCTTCTGGACGGGTTCTTCTCTAATGAAACGTTTCGTCTCTCCTCCAAGAGACTTCTTCAGTCTGAGAGTTTCAGGCAAAATTCAGGCTTTTAAACACATTACGGCAAAGGCTGGTTCACCCCAAAGATCCGGTGCCCCGGCACAAACAGATCAATGT